TGGAGCATGAAGAGGCAGTTGTATTTCAGGTTAAAGCATCTACTGGTCTGCCAATAAATTTTAATTCTTAGATACTTATACAAGGTACACTATTTCCCTTTTTCCTAAGAAAAACAGCAATAGCAGCAATCCAATCCCTGTCTTCCAGCCAAGCTGATGAAGGAGTTGCCTCATCCCAGCCCAAGAAAAAGAGGAAGGGCATTGCTGGTTGGTGGTTTTTTTTGACTTTTTTCTTTGTTAATTCTTGCAAAAATCTCACAGCTTGCTTGAAGGGTCAGAAGCAATACCAATATTTGGGAATTGGAAGTACCAAGGCCCCCCCCAACTTGCACTCCTGCCACTCTATGGACACAAAACATGGGCGAAGACCACAGGGATCTCAGACCAGAGATGGTCCTTTCTGCTGTGCCCCAGATTTTGGGCTTTCTGGCAGCACACGATCGTTTCTCAGTCGAGGCACTACCAGTTTTTTTGATTGAAAAGCATCCTGAGAAAAACCACATCCTTTGCCACCTCGCAGAGCGGCAGGTGAGCAGAGATGCTGCCAGAGATGAAATCCAGCCCTGGGCTTTGCATTTGTTTGGGTGGGGTTTTGGGGTGTTTTGTTTTTGTGGTGTTTTTGTGTTTTTTGTTTTCGTTTTTGTTTGTTTGTTTTGTTGTTGTTGTTGTTGTTTTTGTTTTTCCCAGCTGAAAAAGGACTTGAAAAGGTTCAAAGACAGTATTTAGGCCTTCCTCAAAAGCCAGTGAGGGAGATGAATCAGCAATCTGCTGCCACTCAGCTCCAGGACCATGACACCAAGTGGGGAGCCCTTGGTCTTTTCGGCATTCACGGGTGAATGATTTTAGAGACCGGGCCAGGGGGGCAGCAAATGTGAAGGAGGGAGAGCCTGGAAGGTTTTCATCATCTTCTCCTCAAAGAGCATCACTCTGGGCAGAGCACTTCTCCAGCCCTTTCTTCACCACTATCCATGGAGATTTGTGCAACCCATTCTCCAGGAAAATCTTCTCCCAGTAATTCCATCAATTGTTTTGTTGTCTTTTCCACAAGAAAAGAGAGTTTGCTCCTCTCTCCACCCCTTTGCTCTGCCAGCGTCCTTACTCCAGAGCAGTATTTGAGGTGGAGAGGATGCAAGAGCAGCCCCGCACAGCCAACGTGATCTCAAATATCTCAAAGAAACGTGAATTTGCTCTGATAAATCCATAATGTCTAGCAAGGCTCATTTATTCAGTCCATCCTTAGCAAGGAGGAGGGTTTGGCACTGCCCAAAAGGTCCCTTGGGACTCAGGGGAGGAGAAACAAATTGGTGGGGACACCTGAAAAATGTAAATATTGCTGAGACCCGCCTTGTGCATCCAACACCTCATCCATCTAAGCGAGCAGAAAAGCCTGAGCTGACCCAGATGGGAAATATTCCCCCAGATTTTGGGCCCTAAATCCAGATTTTGGCAATAACTTGAAGGCACCCTTGGGAAGTTCTCACCCCTGAGCTCCTTCCTCATATCCCTCCCCACTGCAGGTGGTGTTGCTGCTGTCACCGTTGACGCGATGGAAAGGTGCAACCAGACCCTCGCGACGTCCCAGCGGCAGTACCGACATAGGATGGAGGTGGTGGGGGCGAAATTTCTACAAAGCAAGGGAAAAATGTCAGCTACAACACCTCGCTGGTGCTCCAGGGTGGCTGGCCAGATGGTGCTGGGGCCCGCCCGTTGACGGTGCAGGGTCTGGAGATGGCACTCCCCATGCAGGTCACGCTGATTTTGCGAGGTCGTGGTGGCTTTGGGTGGGTGCCATCAAATCCCAAGAGGTGGAGAGGAGCAACCGGCAAAGGGCAGGTTTGGAAAGCCCAGGAGAAGGTTTTTCTAGGGAGCAAACCCTTGCTGAGCCTGCCCAAAATGCAAAATAATGATAATTTAGAAGGAAAAACCATCTAGTCCTATTAAGACAAAGACCTCACTGATTTACAAGAGCCCGTATCTGCCACGTGCCATGGGGCGGGATGGGATGGGATGATGTTGGGGGTGAAGCAGCCCCTCCTGCTTGCATCCAAGCCTTGAAAAGCTCTTTGGGAATCCTTCTGTGCAAAGGGAAAGCCTCCCTTTTCCTTCTTCCCCCTTATTCCTCTCCAGCAACCCAGCCCCTGCCCAACTCAACCAAGCGGCACGGCTCTCCACTGCCCTGCGGATCCCCAGCTAGCAGAAAGGCCTGCTAGAAAAAAAAAAAACAAACAAACAAACAAAAAAAAAAAAACACAAAGCAAGTTTTGTCTTCCTTTTCATGCCGCTTCAGAACTGAAACACAGAACTTCTGCAGAAGAAAACTGCCCTGGGGTTGTTTTCTAGAGGAAGCAAGAGAAAACAAGAAAATTCCAAACCCCAGAGGCACGGCGAACTGCAGAGCCTGCCCTAAAGGCCCCATTTTGGTGCCAAAATCCCCATTTTTTAACCCATCCTTTTTACCTGTCCCCTGGTTTGCCCACAAATCAGCCCATCATCTTCAACCTTAAATATTGAGCAAGAACTGCTCATAATCATTAAACAAATATATGGATTTGGGAGCTGTTTCTCCCCAAATTATTAGCTGAGCTCCCCATGCTGTCCATCCAGACCCCCGCTGCATTTATCTGCCTATCGCCGCAGGGAGATGCTGCCTCCTGGTGGGTTTTTGTTCTGTTTTTTCCCTTTTTTGCACTTGAAAATGTCTATGACTTTGAGCCCAAGGTGTGAGAGATCTCCCCAAACAGTTCTTATTTCTATTAATACAATAAAGAGCAGGAAGCCCTGAAAGGGCATCACCCCAATTTCTCCCCCCAGGCAGTTGCTCTACCAGCCCCAAAAATAATTGCAATAAAAATAATCAGATTTCAGCGCTCAGCCTCTGGTAGATCTAAAAGCAGATGTGGGATCAGAGGTTCCTTTTTTAAAGTTAATTTCTCAGTAACGAGGAAAAAAAAATAAGCAATTCCTTCTAATAGGGAATCTGAGGGAGTTTTTTTTTCTCACTGGCTCGTGGTACAGAAATGAGTCACCTAAATCCCGTTGGATCTACCCGGCCCTTGGCACATCGCTTGGGTTGTGTCCCCACCTCACGGCTGACTGCTTGAATTCAACGGCTTCTCGTGGAAACTTGGGGTTGGAAAGGCAATTTGGGAGAAATCTCTGCCTTTCTGAGATTTATCAAAAGACGGGTGACCCCAGCTTTGCACCTACCTGCTTTGAGCAGCTGCCAGCAGCCATCTTCATCCCCAGTTTGGGCTCATTTCCTTTGAATTTGGGGTTTTGTGCTGAAAGCAGAAAAACGTGGGGAGCTCCAGGGTGATGCATCCCCCCGCCGTCATGGTTTGGGCCTGGGCGGCAGCCAACCACAAGGCAGCACCTCTCTCTCCCTTCCCCTCCGGCAATGAGAAGGGACAGAGAGCCAGGCTTGGGGTTCGAGATAGGACTGGGATGGGGGAAAATCCCCCTTTATGGGAACGAGCAAAAGGCAGACTCGTTAGGGGAAGAAAAAAAGAACATACATTTATTACAGACACTAACAACACATAACAGAGTAGGACAGTGAGAAGCATTGCCACATCTTGAGAACACCTTCCCCCCACCCCTCCCTTCTTCCCAAGCTCAGCTCTGCTCCCGATATCTCTACCTCCTCCTCCGGTGGCACAGGGGCAGGGAATGGGGGGTGCAGTCAGTGCTGCCACTTCCTTCATCTTCGGTGAGGGGAGTGTCCGGAACTTGTTCCTCCTGCTCCATCGTGATCCCCCTCTCACAGCAGACAGTCCTCCACAAACTTTCTCTGACATGAGTCCCTCCCACGGGCCGCAGCGTTCCCCACACTGCTCCGTCATGGGTCACTAACTTCCTCCGACTGGATTCCCTCCCACGGCTGCAGCCCTTCCCGAGCTGCTCCGGCGTGGGACTCCCCCGCATGCTGCAATCCTCCCAGCACTGAATTACAGCAGTGGGGCTGCCTTTTCCCATGAGACCCCGGCCTTCTTCGGGCACAGCACCTTGATCAACGAGGCGGAAGCCACAGGCCATAAATCAATGTCTGCTCCACCGTAGCTCTCCATGGGTGGCAGGGGGGGGCCGCCCTGCCGTCTCCCCACAGGATACAGGGGGGTCTCTGCTCCAGCACACCTCCCCCCTCCTTTCTTCCTCCGTTCCTCCACTGACCTTGGTGTTCATGCAGCTGCCCCAACTCCTCCTCACCAGTCCCACTGCTCCTCACCACGTCCCTTCTTAAATACGTTATCGCAGAGGCGCAGCTGATGGGCTCAATTTCCCAAACAGAAGTGGAGCTGACGTGGAGCTGGGGGAGCTTTGAGAAGCTTCTCACAGGGGGCCGCCCTGATAGCCCCCTCCCCTGCCACCAAAAAACCCCACCACTCACTCACCCCAGGACACCCCCGTAAGCACCTAAAGCAAGAGATCAACCAAGAGACCCACCCTGAAAACGAAATCCTGCTTAGGCAGGTATGTTATACCTCACCCTTTAATTTTTGGGGGGAGCATCTTTGGGTTTTTTTCAGCCCCTTTCCCAAAAGGGATTTTTATTGTTGCATTTTGAGCACTTGCAGGAGCACAAATCCACTTGGATCTCCTGCAAATTTGCCTCTAGAAAGACCAGACAAGCCAATTATGATTTTTTTTTTGTAGCCAAATACAACAGGTTTTGTGCTTCCTCCGTCACCAGCTCTGTTTTTCTCACCTCTCCGCAGTGGGATTGCAGCAGCACCAAGACCCTAAAGAGCTACTAGAAAACACCCCCAAAATTAGCCAGCGCCCTGCAAATTGCGAGCACATCACATCCTTGCTCTTTGCTGCCGGTTAAAAGCAGGTTGGAAATTAAAAAATATAAATATATATTAGTCCCTGCCAGCAACAGCCCTGCTCTGGCACCAGGAGGAGGAGCAGGCTGCTTTCCCCAGTAGAAGATGACGTTCAGGCACCTTCCTTTTTTTAACCCAAAGCTGCTCCACAGCTTGAAAAAGCAGTTTTGCTTTCAGAAGCAGCTCTGTGGGCTGCTGCAGAGGAGCGGAGCGAAGGGGAGGCACGACAGCGAGCGTGGGGTTTTAGCTGTGACTCCAGATACAAAAGCCACCGCCGCTGCCGGCTCCAGAAAGAGGGGGGAAAAAAACCCCACAAAACAAAACAAAAAAAAAAGAAAGAAACCTCTGTCGGCCTGAACTTTAAGACCACAAAGACGTCGATCACCGTGGCGGCTGCGGGAAGCTTCCTGGTAAGTGAATTTTCTCGGTGGTGTGGTGCTGGGCTCCTCCTGCCCTCCTGGGATTTCTGCTCGGTGACAGAGGGGGTTTGGAGGAGCCGACATCCCCGCTGCTGCCGGACCCCTACCCTGCAGGAAAGCACAGGGAAAAAAAGGAATTCCCCGTGTCTTTTCTAGCCGTTTCCTAAGCAGATAGCGGCCAAAACCCAACGCTTTCCTCTCAAGCGGGCTCACTACCCATCTCCATCCTGGGGCAAAGCGATGGCACAAGCAAGTTTCTTTCCCATAGCCTGATTTTCTTGGAAAAAGGGGGGAAAAAAAATACAGCCAACCAGTGAGGACACCCTCCACACAGGGCTTATATGCGCTTGTCTTTTTTTTTTTTTTTTTTTTTTTTTTTTTTTTTTTTCTTTTTGCAGCGGAGTCGTGCACTCTCCTCATCGCTTCAAGCATCTCGCGGGCTTTGCTTTGGGTCCTTCCCTTCCCCAGGGCACCTCTGGGTGCAGCACGGGGAGGAGAGGAGCTGAGCTCCCAGCTCGGGGCTTTTACAAGCTGGTTTGCTGCGGTTTCCCTGGATAAGCCAGGCGGCTTGGGGGTTTTCTCGGCTCCCCTGCTCCCGCAGACACTCGCAAGGTTTTCTCGCTAAGCGGGGCGACGCGGGGAGGGACGTGCCTGCTGACACACAAAGGTGTTAAAAACAGGGCGAAGACCGCAGAAGAGCTGCTTCCACCCTGGCTCCCAGGACGGGTCCTGGTGCAGGTCCCTCGGTGGTACTGGGGCACTAGCCGTGCTGGCTCGGGGCCATGACCCTGACGGGCGTCGTGCTGCGGCTGCTGCAGCGACACGGTGAGGGGCGGTGCGTCCTCTAAAAATGGGGAAAATCTCCCCAAATCCATCACACCCCAGGCCTGGGCTGGAGCGGATTTTTCCTGTATTTTTAGCAAAGGAGCAGCTCCTACCCCCCGGATAACCCCACTGGGGGCAGGAAAGCTGCCAGCTTATCCCCCACGGACACACACAGGCTGATTTATGTGTTGGTTTTTTTTTTTTTTTTTTTTTTTTGAGCCTGTCGGAATTCAGGTCCCTTTCTCCACCCTGACAGCGGCTGTAAAGACCCCGGGGGTCCCTCCTGTCCCCCCCGGCAGCTCCTTGCTCCACCCCCAAGGGCTGCTTTGCGCAGGGGTTTCCACCCCAGCGCTCGCATCCTCCTCTCTCACTGCAGCAGCACGACGGTGCAGGTCAAACCCATCCTCATTTTAGGTGGAAACAGCCCCATCCTGAGCCAGGGCGTGCGGAAGGGGGGGACAACAAGGCCAGGAACATTGGGAAAGCACCCCGAGACCCCCCCTAATCCTCCTCACTGCTGTCCCCCATCCACATCACCCTCTCCCTGCCCTCAACACCTTCCTCCACTGCTCCTCTCGCTTGTCCCCCCATACCAGGGGAGATTTTTCCAGCCCACGTTTCCCCAAAACGCACCTGGAAGGGCTCAAACAGCAGGAAAAAGCCCCTGCGTTCGGCTTTGCTTAAGGTTTGACTTTCCACCAAAAGCTGCGCAACCTCCAGACCGTGGCTGACCTTTCCTTCCTGGCTTGCAAAGCGCCCAAGCCCACGGTGCAAGGCAGGATTTCGGGGAAAAAAAAAAATAATTAAAAAAAAAAAAAAAACAAAACAAAACAAAAAAAAACAACCCAACACCAGAAATACGAGCTCAGAGGAGATTAAAGGAGAAGGGCAAAACCACGGTTTGCTTCCAGGCTCCTCTAATCCCCCCGTCATCTCCAGATCACACTCCCAGCTTCTCCCAAAGCACTCCCTGACCCCTCCAGCCCCCAGTCTGCAACTGGGATGTGTCAAGCTCATCCCAGACCAGACCCCCACGGGCGGGATCGGGTCTCCACCCCACCCGATCGGCCTTAAGACTCCATCCCTCCTTCCGGGGCTGAGCATCAACCAGAGAGGGAAAGAGTGGACGTGGTGGGGTGGTTCCCCCCCTTTCCAGGGGGTCTCGTGAGTGTGTCCCCGCTCCGGGTGCCATAACCACATCCCAGGGGAAGTATTTCCCAGCCCAACGCTCACCGCAGACCCGGCAGCTCCCAAAATCCCTCTGGAGCCGGCGGCAACGTTCACGGGAACAAGTTAAACCAGAGCAACACAGGTCCAGTCTGCTAAAAACAGGGAGAAGAGAGTTTAAAAAAAAAAAAAAAAAAAAAAAGGGGCAATTAAGCTCTTACTCCTAAATTACACCCAAGTGCAAAAGTGGGGAAAATTCAACCTGTTAAAAAGCAAGACCCTGTGGTAATACTTTTTTATTCAGGGGTGCTGTTGCAGCCACAGTGACTCCAGTATATATTAAAAAAAAAAAAAAAAAAACAGTTTCTGATAGAACTAATATTTATTAGACCAAGTAGTACAACACAAATGGATCTGGGGAGGAGAAACAAGTTTTTTGGGGAGCACAGGCTCCTCCAACACAGCTGGAAAAACAAGAGGCAAACGGGTGGTACATTCCCGTGCTCGCAGCTGAGCTGACGACCGCTGACCCGGTTCAAGTTCTGGGGGGAAAAAACCCCTTAATGAGATAAATATGGTTCCTGGGAACACGCCGGCAGGCTGGTGGGCATCACGGTGATCTCCAAGTCGCTGGTGCTGGGTCCCACGAAGGCGGATGCTTCGTACCATGATTTGGAGGGATCAGCTACGCTCCCACATCCGCAGCGTTCCGTGGTGCTGGACTGGTCAGAATGAGGCCATTGGGATTTAAGCCGGCCAAAATACCACAAGGAAAAAAAAAAAAAACAAAACAAAAAAAAAAAAACACCAACAAAAAAACCAGGGCAGACTCTGTGCCAGGCAACTCACAGAGATGACAAAGGCACAGCCCAGAGCAGCGGTTTGGTGGCTTTTCGCTGAAATTGGGGTCTTCTCCCAAGCAATTTGGATTTATTTCTCCACTTTGCATTTCTGCCTCTCACCTCCAGCTCCTCCAAATCGATCAAAGACGCCAAAACCAGCAGGATCGAGCTTTGCAGCGCAGCAGCTGCCGGCAAAGCGGGGAGTTTTCCAAGCTTCTTGAATATTCCCAAGTTTCCCTGCAACTGCAAAAGCTGGGAAGGACTGAAGTGAGGATCCTTTAGTCACGGCTCTGTCATCATCATGGGGAGTTTCTACTTTTGTAAGCTCAACTTGAAATAAATATATATCATCGGGACACTCACTACCATGGTGCGTAGGGTTAACAGCAGCTTGTGGTCAACCTCCTCTGCTGAGGGGGAAATTTCAAGTGACATTCAGAAGGATTTCTGAATCCTTCCGAAGCGCGCTGGGACGTTTTTGCTGGTGGCTGCAGACAGAGTATTTCATCTGGGAGCACTGGTCGCTGTCGATCCCGTCGCCGTTGATATAAGCACATTGTCCACTGCCCCGGACATCGAACCTGCATCGAAACAGCGGAAAGAAAACTCAAAGAGAAGCAAACGGGTTGCTGTCAGCCGCGGGTCAGCGGCCGGGCGTCTCCCAGCCGGGTTAACGGTGCTGCAAGGAGCAGGGACCACCCTTCCCAGCAAACCACCCGGAACAAAAACTGCCTCCCACTCCCCAAAGGAGGGAAGATTTTCAGCCAGGGATGCCCTGCCAGCATCTGCGTCACACAAATCCCCAGGCTGCCGTCCCAGTGCTTTACCTCAAGCAAGAAAAGCGGCATTTAATTGCTCCCACCTCATTAAATTTTTATATATATATATATATATATGTGATCTTGCATTCAACCCCTGGCCCATTCAGCCCAGGGCGTGGATATGATCTCCAGAAGAAGACGGGACGTACAGGTTGTTGAAGAGAGACCCGTTGAACCATTTCCAAGGTCCAAAGCCTTCCCTTCGGAGACCGACCCAGTAACGCGAGGAATTCCCGTAGCGTGAGAGGAAACTCTACAGGAGGGGGGGAGGCAAAAAACCAAACACATTATTTATCTTCGCGCTAATTCCCAAATCCGCTTCCCGAAAGCCACCGGCACACCAGCTCCTCGGGGATTTCTCATTTACCAGCTCCTCCCGGCTGTCGATGGTGGCCAAGTGGGCTCCGAGAGAAAGGCAAGAGGTCTGACTCCGGTTCCAGTCCGCTTCGTCCTCCACGAAGTAAAAGCACTTCTCCCTGTACCCGATCCCGTTTTCCAGGCAGCTGGGGAGGACGGGAGAGGGGCAGGATGGACAGGACGGGCATTTTTTCGCTGGAAAGAAGCGGAACGCGTCTTGGCGTCTTGCGCTGGCGGGTTTTCCCCAGGGGAGGAGGAGATTGAGGCGGTGGGCACCCCCACCCCCAGGCACTTACCCGCCAGCGCGACGATGGTGAGGAGCAACGCCGCCACGACCACGGTGACCCCGATGGGGACCTTTTGATCTTTAATGCACTTGAGGCTAAAACCTGGGGGCAAACCGCGTGGAAGAGGCGCAGCCAGCCAACCCGTGGCACGAAGAGCACCCCAAACTCCCCACGTTCTTTAAAAACAGCCATGAAGCATGGGGTGGAGGAGGGGGGGGGGGGGTGGCAAAGCACAGTGGGGTGCAGGCTCAGTTCGGGGGGTACATCCCAGTGCTTTCATGGGCCTCCGAGGTTTTTTGGGGCTGCCTGGCCTCGCCGCACCCTCTCCAACCTTCTTCATCCGCGAGAGACTGGCACCATCCCCCAGACCCGCAGCCTGGCCTGCCCTGTGCCTCCTGCCACTCGCAAACAGCTCTGCCTTTCCTACATCCTCCTCCTCCCTCGCCCCGGCTGCTTTAAGGAAATTTTAGCTGCCCACGTCAGCCACGGCCTCCAGAACAGCCCCAAAACGAGACCGGTACTTACTGGTCCCTTCCTCTGCTCTCTGATGCGACGGCATCACTGCAGCGGTCGAGTCCTCGCCTGGGCCAAAAGCAAGAAGCCCACGCAAATGCTTTGTTATCTCTATTATACATATACTGGGAGGTTATTCTGTAGGAAAAGCCTGACCTTGGGTATTTTGCCCGCCCCCAAGACAAGGGAGAAAAGCAGCATTTCTCTTCCGTCATCTGGTTTACGTGCACAGCAGGGAGGGAAAACACAATTTCTGCCTGCAGAAAACCAGGATTTGCTTTGTTTTTTTCCAAGCCACCGTTGGTTTTATTGGCTTCTGCCGGCTCTGGTTGCCCTGGGGATGTGTCGTCTCAACTGCTCCCAGACTTCTCCAACTAGAAGGTGTCCTGGGCTCCAATCCCCACGCCAGGACCCTCAGGGTCACCCCAGAGCCCTTCAAAGCCACCTGAGCGTCGTCCCCCCCAGCCCGAAAGCCCCGAAATCACCCCCCTCCTGTCCCCATCGTGTGCGGGGGCAGCTCTTAAAGCCTCGAGGGAAGGGGGACGGAGCTTGTGTACCTGCATCACGAAGAGCTTCGGCCATCCTTGGTGTCACGGAGGGGACAGCAGCAGCTTCTGGGGACAACTCACGCGCCCCCCAACTCCACCAGCAAGAAGGGGAGAGGGGTGAGGGACACCCCAAAACCCCAGCACGGCAGCCGGGTCCTTCTCCGTCCCGGGGCGTTGGCAGGATGCTCCTGCAGCCACTAAAAAAGACAAAAGGCTCCTAAATCCCCGCCCCCCCCCAAACCCCAGTGCTGCTCATCACAGCACTTTTTGCAAAATAATCTCATTTCCTCAAAGCTCCTTTTCTCCTCTTTCCACATCTCAGCCTGCATTCACTCTGAATTCTCGCATCCCAAAACCTCCCACAACTGCATTTTTTCCTACGTTGTTCTGGGGAAATAGTTTTTCTAAATTCTTCGGGGGCTTTGACCTTTCCCTGGACACGGCCTTATCCCAAATCCCACGGCAAACTATTAAACAGATTCATGTCTCTCCTCAGAGAAGCAAAAACCAGCCCCACAGAAGCTATTTGTTGAACATTCGCATTTACAAGAAAAACCTCAATGAAACTGAGCAAAAACCCACCGATGCAAAACAGAAAAATGTGCAGATGCTGTAGCCAAGAAGCCCTTGAAGCTACAAAGAGCTGCTGCTCCTCAAATAGCGCATATTTATTAAAAATCATATATAAAACCCTGACATCAGGTGCGCCCGTTTGATATCAGCTCTGTCAACACGAATTACATCGCCTGCACTGCAGATCTTCCTCAAATATTTTCCAAGGAAGAGCCACCTTCATGTGTTTGCAAAGGTAAAATATTTTTTTTTCCCCAACCACTTGATTTTGAACAGGGTTTAATTAAGGCAGCATTTTGTTACTGTCCCCAACACCTAAAACCAAATTACTCCCAGGCTGCAGCTTGGTGTATTCTGAAGTAAAAAAAAAAGCGGGTGATGGAGGAAGAGGAGGAGAAAAACCACCAAGTGAGGAAGAACAGAGAAACCTGATCATCAAAAAATACTCCCAAACGCACTGGGCTTGTGGGAAATTAAAGGACTTTTGTGTCCCAAAAGGCGCGTCAAAACTACTACAGGCAAACATTGTTCTAGTCCGTGGCCTTGGTAGGAGGAAATATTGCTGCCTGGTGAAATCGGGTCTTTGCAAGTGGCTTGTGGAAATAAATCAACGGTGCTTTTGTCTGGTGCCCAAGGAGTGAGAAATCCACGCAGCAAAGAGAATTGAATTCCTCGTGCCCTGACAACACCCAAATTCTGCTGCAATAAAAAAAAAAAAAAATAAGGGGAGAAAAATCCACTTTTACCTGCAAAAAAGGAGAAAAATCCACATTTCACCTGCAAAAAAAGGTGAAAACCCCACCTTTCACCTGCAAAAAAAGGAGAATCCACCTTTCACCTGCAAAAAAAGGAGAATCCACCTTTCACCTGCAAAAAAAGAAGAATCCACCTTTCACCTGCAAAAAAAGAAGAATCCACCTTTCACCTGCAAAAAAAAGGAAAAAAAGCCACATTTCACCTGCAAAAAAGGGAGAAAAAGCCACATTTCACCTGCAAAAAAGGGAGAAAAAGCCACCTTTACCTGGAAAAAAGGGAGAAACCCCCAGCTTTCACCTGCAGGTGTGTCCCAGCCTGGGGTGAGCTGGAGCCCTGGGGGAGGAAAGCGCAGAGTGCGCAGGGGGGAACATGCTGAGGGTGGAAAAAACCCACCCTGAAATGAAATTAATGGGTTTTCACACGCGAGGCGGCCCCAGTGTCCATCTCCACAGGCTCCCGACTCACCCTCCCCGTGCTCAGAGGAAAAATTGGCTTTTCCACATCAGGTCCCTAGTCCAAACTTGCGGGGAAACTGCTGCTGAATTTGGGGGTCCCAGCCCCTAGGAGCTGCAGGGGGAGGACAGAGGAGCTCTCACTAAATAACCAACTTCACCATGTGTTGTGGTTTTTCTTTTTTTCCCTCTGTGGCAGAGGAAAAACTGGAAATTTCCCCTCTCTGGGCCCCCAGCCTCCATCCAGATGAAGGATTTAAACACACACAGGGATGCTCCCTGCTCCCAAACCCCTTTAACCTGGTAGTACCGGAGCAAGAATCCAATAAATTGGAAACTACCAAAAACATCTAATACCCAACACCAAGGAGCTGCTGAAACGCGCCCTCTCCACGTGCTTTCCATGGTAAATCCCTCCTCAAAATTTACCCCAAAAGCAGATTCCTACCTGGTGTGCAATAAGGCAATCTTAACATCCTCAGGAGAAAATTTGTGTTTTATTCAGGCCTGAGCGCTCCGTGGGCTTTTCCACCTACCAGCAGGTTTAGGTACTTCTCTTTATAGGCAAAAATCAGAGGTAAATACTTTTCCAAACACACTTATTAGACACCGATCGGTTAGTGATTAAAATACATTACAAAACAAACCACAGAATGCTTTTATCACTACGTATGCTCAGGGAAAGGGTCTTCAACCCGGGCAGGGGTCATTCTGCCCTGGGGGGATTGGTTTTTAGTATTGTAATGAAGGTAGTTCTCTCTCAGGACACTTAAAAACTTAGTTACCCTGCCAAATTAATTATTTGATTAGTTGCTTTGTCAGATTATCAAATAATTCACCCTTGACACACCCAACCCCTGGCATTCGTGTTACGATTTTATGATTTACCTATTAACCAGTTAGGAGGAGCAGGGTTTGATCTCCTAAAATTTTTATCACTAATCAGAGTCATCTCAGCGACAGTTCTCAGTCTTGCTCGACCAACCTTTATGGCCATTGTCCCCATATATTCTGTAACAGAATATATTTAATTTAATGTAATAGAAGTATTTAATTGTCCCCATGTATTTTGCAACAGTGGCTACCGTCAGATTTGATGTAGAACGAACTATTGTCTCTGGCCAGCTGCAGGTGTGGGCTATAACCACATCAATTATCTAGAACCGCCTGCAAATGGGAAGCGTGTTGCATCATTCCGAGCAGCACTGTTGCCTTCAGAACCCCCTTCTCGCTGTTCCTGGTTTTTTTTTTGGTTTTTTTTTTTTTTTTTAAATTAATCTCCCACCCTCCTCCCTCCCCCAAAGCCAGGTGGGGAGAGTGGCATCCCAAACCCCTGCCAGGCTCTGCCAGGACTCGGGGAGAATTGGAGCAAAGCCACTTGCTTACAAGACCCCAGCTGCCCTTCAGCATCACACTTTTCCTTAAATAGAGCCTGATTCAGGCAGGTTTGGAGCTTTTGCTGACTGTGTTGGAGGGGATTTTGGCTTCCAGCACACCAGGGCAAGAACGGTCCCTTTAGCAGGGTTTAAAAGAAGGGTATGTTTGGCAGGGTTTAAGAATGGTATGTTTGCCAGGGTTGGCAGGGTTTCCAGAACTGAAATCCGCCTTTGGGGCGGAGAGTTCTGTTTCAGCTGCCTTAGGAGTTTTATTTTTAAAGCTCAGCCCTTTTATGAAAGGATGACCTGACATCTGATCAGCTGAGCTGAGGACACCCGGGTTTTAAAATTAGCCCTGTAAAATCACTGCTTAATGCACGCAGGATAAAAGAAGGAGGTGGGAAGGGGAATAACCCCATCCCCGAGATTCAGGCGGGAGAAGCTGGGGTGTCGAGCCCCGCGGCAGCGAACAGGTAACAGCCTTCGATTTGGGAGGTGCAGGGTGTTGGGGGCATCAGGGCTGCCCAGTGGCTCCTTCATCCTCCCCGGGCAGCTCCAAGCTCCCGAGGAGCAAAGTCTTTCTGACCAGGGCTGGGCCGCCCTTCAATTTGCTTTATTTCCCCCCTAAACCAGCAGGAAAACTCCCGTGCCCTGCCGTGTTACAGCGAATCATGTGCATAAGGTTATTATCTTTTAATGATAATGCATGAATTAATATCTATATTGTTATAAAAAACAAAGACTAATTCATATTAATTAATAATAGTAATGATGATATTATCTTGTAATGATAATATTATTGTGATGTATTAATAACTAATGATAAGGTTATGACCTTTTAATATTATATTAACATTAATCAATAATCTTAATGATGAGGTTATGATCTTTTAATGATTTTTATGATTAAGGAATCATGTTAGCAGAGAGGATACACGTTTCTAGTGCAAGACGGAGGGACTGCTGAGGGAAGGGGGGGTTTTCCTCAGCATCCCCCCAGCCCCTCTCGCCCCTCAAAAAGGGTCTGAGGGAGCGGGGAGAGCCGGGGGGCTGCTGGGGTTGGGGTGTCCTCCAGCCTCTCGTGGGGCGTGGGTGGGGTGGGGGGGTGAAAACGGCCGCGTTTGCCCCAAAAACTCCGCGACAGGCGGCAGAAACGGGGGGGGGGGGGGGGGGGGGGGGCGGAAAAAAGGCACTTCGAGATGGCGGGGAGTCTCGGATTCCTCTCCTGACGCTCGGGTGAGGCGGTCGCTCTCACTCTCATTGGCTGCTCCGCCCGCCGCTCCTCGTTCTTGCGCCGCTGATTGGCCGAGCGCCGTTAAGCGGGAGTGTAGGGAAGATCTCAAGGGGCGGAGACTTCCGGGTTCTCGCGTAGGTGCCGGGCCCGGCCCGGCGGCCCGGGTTCCCTCCGCCTTTCGCTGCCGAGCGGGGAGAAGCTGTGGTGAAGGGGGCCCGGCGGGGCTCCGCGGAGGGTTCGAGGCTTGTCCTCCTTCTCCCTGGGGTTCGGGCTTCTTCCCCTGGGACCGCTGTGGGAGGAGGAGGAGGAGGTGATCGTAACGAGCCGAAATAGTGATGCTGGGACTCACTGGGTGATGCTGGAAGCCCAGCCAGGGGAAGGAGCCGCTTTGCAAACTGGCGCGGGACGCTTCCCACTGTTGCTGGCGTGGCGACCTGGTTCAGGAACGGCACGGCGGGCGATCCCCGGCCGCTCGGGCCATCTGCTCACAGACACCGATGTGGTGGACGGCAAATGGCGTTTTATTACTGAATGACACAGCTTTATATGGCTTGAGTTTACAACATCACTTCCATCTGCTTACATCATGAACTAAAGACCATAGGGAGAGGGGTCCTACCTTTCCGTACAGCGCGGTATCTTCCGGCCGCCAGACCCTAACTACCTACATTTCCCCCCTCCCTATGCACGACTAAACTAACTAAAATAGAAAAACATAGGAAACTTAAATGAAAACATAAGGCACAGTGGACAGGTGGAAATTAGAGGGTAACTAGTAATAACGGGGTGCTATTTAGGGTAACTAAGGATAATTGGGAGTAACACAGAGTAAACGTGTTCTTAAAGCAGTTGTTGGCGTTCTACCAACATAATGTTAACCTTCTCTAGCTGGCTTTTGATGAACGACACAAGCTTATTTAGTATACAGGGTCCAAAGATCAGTGCCACCATGATCATTACGACTGGCCCTGTCAAGGTAGGTATCAGGGTGGTTAGCCATGGCGAATGGTTGAACCATGATTCAAACCAGCTTTGTTGTGCCTCACGTTCCTTTTTCCATTTTTCTAATCCTTCTTGCAATTTGGCCATAGTGTCTCTCACTATTCCGGTGTGGTCCGCATACACACAACACTCTTAGTGCAGCGCACACTCCCCCTTGTTGTAAGAACATCAGGTCTAATCCTCTTCGATTTTGTAACACTACTTCAGACAATGATCTAACTGATTGTTCTAATGCAGTTACTGATTGTTCAATTCCAGCCAAGTCCTCATCTACTGCCATCCTCAAGGCGTTAAATTCTTTACTCTGTTGCACCAAGGATGCTACTCCTGTACCTATTCCCGCACCTCCTATGAGCAGTAGAGTGGGCACTGTTATTGCTGTAAAGGGTTCTCGTTTTGACAGATGATGTTCGGGGGTGATATGTGAGTTGTAGACAAAGTCGTCGGAATGGTAATAAATCTTGGGGACTATTGATATCTGGACACAATACTCTGAGGATTCGTTAAAGTTTTCCAACGACAAACAAGGTGTAACTCCAATAGTAGAACAAATCCACTTGGCATTTTGGGTCGGTATTAACCACTTTGCTGAGACTTTATATTGTCTCTTACTAAAACACAGTTGTTCTTTATGCTTTGGGACTTTGCCTACACACAAGCCCCTTCCCACTACCTGTGTCAGTGTAATGCCTTGCTTTTCTGTATCCCATATGCAGCGGGCCGGATTTGTCCCATTTGACTGCATAGGTATGTCAACTACCCCTACGGCCTCATAAAAAGGTGGTTTTATTCCGTAGCACAACCAGCAATGTTCCGTAAGGTTTGGGTTAGTTTTGTTCAACACTTGGTAGCTAGCTTGCATCATTTTCCAGAGAGGATTTCCATAAGGGATTTTGGTGGAGCGTGTTGTTACCGGTGTGGTAGTACATTTTGCTTTTGATGTTTTCTGGTTGTTAGTCCCTTTAGTTGGGAAGACTTGACTGGGGATAGTCAGAGCTACTTCGTTAAAAATGCTCGGCTGGGGCCTACTGGCAGTGTATCATTCAGGACAACTTCCTTTTTTATGAGGATTAAGCCACCTCTGTCTGTTCCTGGTTCTGTGTACCTTATTCCCCAAGTTTTCCCAAGTAGCCAACTATCCTCTTGGGGCTCGGTAACATTTAAGAAGAGGTAGCGGCAGTTTCCACGTCCTTGCCATGCTTGTGGTGGAATGCACCCATATGGACCCCACTGGACTTTTAGGTATTTGTCTCTACCGCTACCCGGTATCCAAGCAGGGGCTACGGTTTCACATCCCCAATAACTACAGTAGTATTGGTTAGGGTAGTTACAATACCCCTTCCCAGGATTCGAGCTAGGACACATATAAAATCCCATGTATTCCCAACATCGGTCTCTCGGGACAAGCTGACACAGAGAGGCATTAAAACTTGGCGCGCCTGATGTTATTTGAGTTGCGATAACTTGGGGGTCCTCTGGTCGAATGAGGGACCATTTAAATGGCTGCTGGTGAAAGCGACTCGATTGTACCTGTCCTATGGTGACAAGCTCTAAAATCAAAATCGCACAAAGGCATCGCAGTCGTCGCTTGGTTCCTGCCAATGCGGGGCTCCCAGGCGTAGATGGGGCGCCTGCTGGCTCATCCGCTTTTTCTGCCACCGGGGTGTACGGGTTATGGGGGTGTCCGAAGATCTGGTCCTGTAAACAGAAACTCACGGTTTTCATTAGTTTTGTTAGGTTTATTCTGAAGGTCCGGTTTAATAGACTTAAGCGGACACCATTTAATTCTACCATCTTTTCTGACCGCAGCATACCCTCGCCCTGTTAGAACTAACTTCCCCCCTTGTTCCCAGTCTCCCAGCTCATTTCTAACTACGACCGACGGGCCTTTTGCTTCTACGGGCAGGGTCAAGGAGTCGACCGCCGCCTGGAGACGATCTACAAATTGCGTAAAGGTCTCACTTTCGTTTTGCTTTATTGTGGACCATGGCGATGGCTTGGTGACAACTCTAGAGGCCACACGAATAGCTTCTCTGGCCGCACGAGTGGTTGTCGTAACTTCATGGGCCCGCAAGCCTTGGGCTTGTGCATGGGGGGTGATCATCGTTGGGTCTGTACCCATTAGCCGCTGCAGGCTGGAGCCGTGTAGCGGATGGTCCGCTCCGGTTACTCGGGCTAGTTGCTTCGCACAGTTGTCCTCCCATTCTTGTTTAAAAACCATCATCCCTGCCCCGTCGAAAATCAAATCTACAAGTTTGCTTTATATCGAACGGGAGCATGTCGTCTCCCCCGAAAACTCCGTCTATGAGGGTGGAAACCATGGCAGAATTAAGCCCTTTGTCTGCGATTGCTTTAACAATTGCTTGTATATCCTTAGGATTTATTGGCGAGTGGACCCTTTGTCCCCCGTCCGTCACTCGGACTGGCAACGCTAGTGTGGCCGATGGGGCCCAGTCGGCACACGCTATCTTTATTTTTCTCCGATCCGCGAGGGGAATTTTTCCCCTCGTAGTTCCTCTTTATTGCGAATGGGGATATTTTGGCTTTTGGCTCTGTCTGTCTCTATTTCCTCCTCTTCTGAACTTGAATCAATTGCGCGCCACTCGCCCCAGGTACTATCTGACCCGCAGTCGGAACTCGACTGACTGGTCACTTCCGGATTCCAGGGCCTGTTTGTCGGGCTCTGGCCCCGCCCACTTCCCTTGTGGGCGGGCCGTTCCCTCCCCCTCAGCTCGCCCCGCCTCCTACGGGGCGGGGCCTTTGCCTTATAAGGGCATTTTTGCACACGGTCGCTCGGGTTGGGTCTCCGCCCCTCGCCCACGCTCCCCTCCTCCCCCCGGGTGCCCCCGCCGCTTTTCCCTTTCTGATTCTTCTCCCCCTCCCGTTTGTGCGCCCGTATCGGTTTTAGTGCTTCTTCTTTGTTCTCTCCGGGGGCACCTTCGCCCCGCCCTTCCCCTTCCTGCTCGGCGCCATTTCTGGGGGCACATAAGGAGGTGGTCTCGCCCGGGCGTGCTCAGACTCCGAGTTCTCTGCGGCACTCCTGGCCTCCTCGAGGGATTTGCCCCCGAAGGATTTTGTTTGATTTTTTTGCCCCTCCGCTAGCGGGACGGGGTTCGGGGGCTGGGGGGTCTGCAGGCTCAGCGGGATTGCCAGCAGCGCGGAGTCTGCGTGGCTGCCCCGACTCCTAATTTCGGGGTAACCTTCAAACGGTCCCTTGCCACCCTCCAGGCATCCTGCTCTTGTATGGCCTTTTGTACGACTCTTCCCCATGATTTAAGATTTTTCCCACAACCCGAAGACGTCGTCTCCTCAGCTAACACTTCAGTGCATTTATCCCGCACATCTGGGTGGAGAATACCCCCCAATGACCCCAATTTGTAAAAGCCTCGCAACTGCCAGGGTAAAATCTTTGGCTTTACAATCAACCCCCCACTGCTTATGTATTTGGGATACGACCTTCACAAGGGCTTCCATCCTCCTTGGTGGTCCTGCTCCGGGAGCGTCCTCCCCTGACCTCCCCCACCGGGCTGGTCCCGCCGCTCCAGCCGCCGTTCACCCGAATCCAGGGGACGATTCCCGGGTTTCGGCACCTCTTGTCGCCTATCGCTGGCGTGGCGACCTGGTTCAGGAACTGATGTGCGGAAAACAGACTCCACAATCTGACAGATTGTAAAGCAGGTATGTTTACTCAGCGGTGGGCACGCAGGGGATCGCGCCTCCCAATGTGTGCCACCATATGGCGCCGTTGCCTTAGATTTCTAGAGCAAATGATTACATATTCCTAATATTTCGCAATACGCCTACACATATGCATCACCTATCCCCGCTTCGTATTAAAGTTAGCATTTCCATAATCTCCTCCCAGTTGAGTCTGTGCAGTGAGTTCCTTTGGTCCTAGGCAGGGGTTGTGGGAGGAAGGATCTCCTCTTCCTCAGGGCTGAGCTTTTCACTGCGAATTCCTGCGCAGTCTCCTGGACTGCAGAGCAGGTTTGTGCCGGTTGCGGGGTGATCTTCTGCTGACACCCACTTACTTAGGGGTGGAGGGGGCTTTGTACTTAAACAGGAGATAGTGGTTGAGCAACACAAACACAGCAATATCTATCTCCTACAAGCTAAGCAAACTCTTATCTCGACTATTTCCCTCCTCATCCCCTTCTTGCTGTTCCCACATTAACCCTTACATCCCCTGTTCCTATCTAGGCCCTGTATCAGGAACGGCACGGCGGGCGATCCCCGGCCGCTCGGGCCATGTGCTCACAGACACCGATGTGGTGGACGGCAAATGGCGTTTTATTACTGAATGACACAGCCTTATATAGCTTGAGTTTACAACATCACTTCTGTCTGCTTACATCATGAACTAAACACTATAGGGAGAGGGGTCCTACCTTTCCATACAGCGCGGTATCTTCCGGCCGCCAGACCCTAACTACCTACATCCCACCTCCCCTTTTCATGTGCCAGCTGAGCGGGTTCTGCTTTTTTTGGCTGCTGAGTCTCTGCGTGCCGGGATGGGCAGGTTGTGCTGTCGGGAGAAGTAGCCGAGAAGAAGCTTTGCTCGGCACCCCCCGCCCCGTTTTCTCCCACCACCCCCGAGGTAATTGCGTTGGCAGCCCCTCGATGCCTCCAAAGCCTCGAGGTGTTGCCCCTTGCCCGGCCCGGGGTGCTGGTCGTGCCCCCCAGCAGCTGGGGGGAGCGGAGCGGGGCTTTGCCGAGATGTTGGTGTGTCCCTTGGCCCCCGGGGGGAGCAGGGCGAGGGCAGGATTTGCTAACTTGTCATTCCTGAGCCATGCTGCCACCTCAAGGATGAGGCTTCCGTTTTAAAGAAATTACCCGATGGCTGCCAACTACCAGAATAATATTTGGTTTGGGTTCTGTGTTCCCTACGATCTCGTTTCGGGATGGAGCCAGCTGCTCTGCTCGCAGGATTGATGCCTCGGGCGTGCGGCTCCTGCTTGTGGCAAGCAAAGAATTCCACTTTTCAGCGTGCCATGGGACAAGGGGAAGAGAACAACCACTCCTCCGTCAACGGGAACGTGGAGGAGCCCCTGAGGCCTGAAAACGGAGGGAAATCTCCCAACTATGGGCACCCAGACCAAAGTCACACTCCGGGTGAGTGCGGGGTCACCTCTTTGGTGTGCAGAGGGGACAGTGGCAGTGTCACCCCCACGAGGGCTGGGGCTGGGCAAGCACCGTCCTCACTGCAAGGGGCTTTTTTTTTTTTCTCTTTTTTCCAGGCAGGTGTTGCCTGCTCCAACAAGTGATGGTCCCGGTGGTGATGCTGGTGGGGTTTGTGGTTCTGCTCCTGGCTTTGGCCACGGCTGTCGCTGTGCCGGCGGGTAAGGGGGGGAGCGCGACTGCCTCGGGCTGGGCTTGGATGTGTGAGGACCGTGGGCTGGTGGGGAGAACATGGGGGGGGGGGGTGTGCCAGCCCCTCAGGAATCCTCAGACCTTCTCCCCTTTTTCTCCGCAGCAAAAAGCAGCGAGTGTTCCGCCGCGGTGCTGGGCTGTCCCAGTAGCTGGGTTGGATACGGAGGGATGTGCTATTACCTCTCGCAGGAGGAGGGGAGCTGGCAGTGGGGCCAGGAGCGGTGCTGGGCGCTCAACGCCTCGCTGGCCGTGCTGAAGGAGCCGTGGGAACTGGTGAGTTGAGGGGCGAAGGGGGGGCGGGGGGTTTGGGGTTGGTGCTGGGCAAGCAGAGCTGGTTGAGCTCCTTGGAGCAACCCCCGGGCTGGGAGCCGGGGTTGGCAGCAGCTCCTGGCCTGGCAGTTTCTCTCTTTCCTTCCTTCCCAGGAGTTTCTCAGGCACCTCAAGGGCAACGTGGAATACTGGCTCGGGCTGCGGAGACGGGGCCAGAACCTGGAGTGGGTGGATGGCAGCAGCTTCAACCAGACGTGAGTCCTGTCGCGAGCTGCGGCTGCGCCAACACTGTCCCGCCGTGGCCGGGTCCTTGGTGGGACGTGTCTGCTGGGACCGTCCCTCGTGTCAGCCCTTGTCGTCCCCCCCCTCCTGCTGGAAGGGACGGGGGACAACCTGAGGATGATGGCCGTGTCTGTCTGTCTTGTTGCAGGTTCAAGGTGCGGGGCCGAGAAGATTGTCTGGTTTTGGATGACGGTTATTTGACGGCCGCGACCTGCTCGCAGCTCCGGCCGTACCTCTGCAGCAAACCCTCAGCTCTGCTGTGAGACGCGACGGGGGAAGGAAAGGACCTTCTCGGAGCTGGGGACTCCCCAGCTTCCACATTCCCACCAGCACAGGGAAGGGGCGGGATGTCCTTCCCTCAACTGCTGCTCTGAGTTGCTCCTGATCTCAGCGCTGACTCGCTGCCAGCTCCGAGACGTGAACATCACGGAACCTGACGTGTGTCTGCCTGGACTGGGGACCTTGGGCCGTACATGGTGCAATTTCTGTCTTAATCGGGAACACCCCAGGGCTCCCCTTGCTTTTTTTTTTTTTCCACAGTTATCTCTTCTTGATTTTTTTTTTTTTTTTTTTTTTTTTAATTCTGCTCCGGTGCCAAAATCTCAACCAGGGCCCCTGTGCAGGGCATGGAGCCAGGTTGTGAATCAGCCCTCTGGCACCCCTGGGAGCTCCAGGTGCTGACACAGTTTTATTGAAATATACTTGAATTAAAACACCTCAGACTCCCCTGGGCGTCCCTTCTGTTCTGGAAGGTGCCTGCTCACGGCAGCCCTGTCCTTCCCCAAATCCTGACCCCCTCAGGAAGGTGCTGCAGGAGCCTCAGGAGCTGCCCTGGGCACTGGGGACGAAGCTAATTGGGGTGGGGGGTGAGCAAACCCTCCCCACGTCCCCTGCGGTGCTCCCAATCTGTCCTTATTCATATTTATAGAGAAATGTATTTATAATGTACCCTATATGAAGCTCGTGTGAATATTCTTATTTTCAAATCTCTGCTGTGTGAAATCACCTTTTATTGCATCATGTCAATCCTTTGTTGTCTAACGCTAAAACTTAACCTTTGATCTACCTGAAAAATACTTTCTAAAGCACTGTCCTTAATTATTTATATTATATTGTAACTGTGATATAAACTTATGACTGCTTGAGATACTTTTCTTTGTGACACTGACCTGGGGACACCCCATTTTGGAGGCTTCCGCTTGTCCCCTGCTGTCCCCTCCTCTGCTCAGCAAAACGGGTTTGGGGCCATTTTCCTCCTTGGAGCCAAGAAAATAAATGCAATTATTGCATGCTTGCCAGGACCTGGCAAAGGATGAAAGGAGGAGAAGTGCGGGTGGTAATAAAATAGTGCTTAATTAGGCTAATGAAATTGCTCCTAATTAAGAGGTGCCTGGGTGCATGTGGCTTGGGCGTGGTCACATCTGCCATCTCATCACGGTGAGAGCCGCTTCTCTAAAAATCAACGTATTTACCTATTTTTTTTTTCTTCCGCTATTATTTTTTTTTTGGAGGGGGGGAGGGTTTAGGCAGAAAAATCATTGTGTGTTTTTTTTTTTTTTTTATTTTTCTTGCAGGAGCTTGTCCCACACCTTGCCTTTTCCCCTGTAGGGTGCACCTTGGCTTTCCCACCTCCCTCCTTTCCCCAGCGCCCGTCACCCAGGCATCAAGGCTGCTCTACCCCCCCCCCGCCCCCCCTTATTTTAAGCAGCTTTTTGGGTTCTGGAGCTGCACCCCTGGCAGGAAGCTCGGGCCCCTGCTGCCAGCTCAGCCCTCGATGGCCCAAGGCCGCGTGGTCAGCTGTGCTCTGGTTTCCTGTCCCCAAGCCTGGTGGCCTCTCGGCTCTTCGGCACCATGGAGGATGAGGATGGTTACACGGTTTTAGAGAAGCGGGGCGCAGCGGGGAGCCCCGGTCCCCTCCAGCATGCAGGTAGTGGGGGGTTAAATTTGGGGGGGGGAACTGAGGAAAGAGGAGGTGGTGATGAGAAGCGGGGCGATGCAGCCCCTTGGGTCCCCAAGAGCTGCTCAAGCTGGGGAAACTGAGGCACGGATTGAAGCCGGGGGGGGGGGGGGGGGTGCTTTTTTGGAGGCTGTGGTTCCCACCCTGTTCCCGCTGAGCTAGAGGTCTTGGCTGTGACCCCAAAAGAGGGGAGCAGAGGGATTTGGGGGGGGAAACGACATACCCAGTTCCTGCCACTCATCCTTTACTGGGGTCACAACTTTGTGCAAAGCAGGGGGGTTTTTGGGGGGGGGGTTTCACCAGGGTGCTTTGCCCCACGCCACCTCGTTTCGGGCTCTCTGTTGGGGGGGGGGGATGTGGTGTGACAGATGCTTTTGAGCGCTGCCCGCCCCCTCCCCCCCCCCCCCTTTCTTTTTTTTTTTTTTTTCCCAACCCCTGACCGCAGAATGGAGCCTGGAAGACCCTTGGGGGGGTTTTGCCCCACAGCGAGCGAGGGTCCTTGGGGGACCCCTCCGCTGTCCCCGCTGCCTCCTCGGGGCCACGCTGGCTGCCCTGCTGCTGTCCCTCGGGGCATGTGGTGAGTTGGTGTTGTGTTTCCCCCCCACCCCACGTGTGTTTTATTTTTGTTTTTTTTTGTTTTTTTTTTTGGGAGGGGTGCAGGGGGAGCTCTCCCACTCAGGCTGAAGTGTCCCTCTCTCCCAGTGGTTTGGTTGGTGGCGGAGAGGGGACAGCCCGAGGGGACGGCGGCCCGCGGGAACGCCACGCTCTGCTCCGACCGCCTCAACCTGGAGCTGAGGAAGAGCCTGTGCACCCCAACAGGTCCCCCCACCCCACCCTGGGGTCCCCTCAAAGGGACCCACCCCCTCACCCCCCCCCCAGAGAACACCCCTCCAGCCAAAAGCTGCTGTCCCCCACCCCGGCTCCGCGCCTTAGCCTGGCGGTGTCCATCTGTCCGTCCGCAGGGGGCGAGGGGTGCTGGCTGTGCCCCGCGAGCTGGAGGCTGCGCGGGACCAAGTGCTACTGGTTTGGCAACGGGATCGACCCTTGGAACCAGAGCCGGGTGGACTGCGTGAATCGGGGTGCCCAGCTGGTGATGCTGGGGGACCGGGAGGAACTGGTAAAGGGGGCCGGGTGGGATGGGGCTGGCGGTGCCTGGGGAAGGGCTTCGCCCAGAAATCCGGGGCAAGCACCCACCTTCTGCGGCTGGGACAGGCTAGAGCTTGGGTTTGGGGGGGGTGGCCGGCTGGCACCCCCCACCCGCCCTTCTCCCCCGTTGTAGGATTTCCTAATTGAATCCATCCAGAAACCTACCAGCTATTACTGGATCGGGCTTCTCCTCTCCCCGGTGCAGGGCTGGACCTGGCTGAACGGCTCCCGCCTGGACCGCAGCTGGTGAGCGTTTTGGGGAGAGCCGGGTGTCTTTTTTTTTTTTTTTTTTGGGGGCACCTCTCTTTTCACCCCAGGGATCCTCGTGCGGTGACACGGGCTCCCTCCCGCACCCCGGCAGCTTCCAGCTGAACCCCCCGAGCAGTGGCGGAGCCTGCGGGGTGCTGAAGGGGGGCAGAATCACCTCCGAAAACTGCAGCGCGGAATTGAAGTGGATCTGCCAAAAAAAAGCCACCCACCTCTGAGGCGTTGTGGGGTCGGGGCATTTCCGCCCCCCCCCCCCCCCCCCCCCATATCTTGTAATATGCCAACAGCAAGGTGCTGGCTCATTTGCATGCTAATTAGTATATAAGGAGGGAGCTGCGGGGTTGGGGGGGGGGTGTTGGAGGTATTTGGGGTCGGGACAAGGCGTGGGGAAAAACTGCCACGGCTCAAAAGCATTGAAATCCTCCACCGCTCAAAAGCACTGAAATCCTCCATCCCACCCCAAAAATAATGGGCGAGGCCCGCTCAGAGGAGGAAAAAAAGAGTCGCTGCGGTGTGAAAAAAAACAATTCTTACCATTCTGAAATTCTCAAGTGGTTTCATTGAGTTTGAGGTTTTGGCGGAGCAGGGATGCAGCCGGTGCTCTGCCTGCAACAGCCACCCCACAGGAAGTGATGCTGGGGAAAAGGGCGACAAGAAGTGCTTTTAAAAAATAATAAAAGAAATTTAATTCAAAAAAACCCACTCTTTTTTGGGGGGTGGGGTGGGGGAACTGAGGGAGAAGGTAGAAATCAGCTGGAGGTGAACGCTAAATTTATAACGGCGGTGGTGATGCCAAGATGATCCGAGCTTTTGCCAGGGAGAGAACCTGAAAAAAGATGCTCAAAAGGCTGGAAAATGATTTAATGTAAAACTGGGCTCCTTTGGGCAACATCAGCCATCACCGGAAAAAGGCCTTGGAGCAGGGGGAAGGAGCACAGGGTGAGCATGGAAGAGGTCACCCAGATATGGCACTAAGTGTGTTAGCTTTTGAAATTATTATTATTAATTATTAGCACAGCTTTGGGGCTGGCTCAAAGGGATGTGGGGCAGGTTCGGGTGGGGGGGGGGAGGGCCTCTACCTTCTGCATGAAGGCAACCCAACTCACCTCCCAACCTGAAAACTGCCCTCAGTGGGGCTGTAAAACGCCAAAAAGTGCCCCTGAAGAGAAATATTTAAAAAAAAAAAAATCTACCTTGGATGTGGGCCTTACACACACCCCTAGACCTAACATGGCCACCCCGTCGGTGGGAGGCCGGGGGGGTCCCGGGAGTTTCGCCCTCGGGGTGCGGAGAAGGGGGGAACACACCAAGGGGACCCCAAGGGGCGTCGTCCCGTTCCTTCCCCCCCCCCCCCCAAAAAAAGGGCCTTGATTTCCTTCAGCTCCCACCATGCGGACTACATTTCCCAGCGTCCTCTGCGTGAGGGCGGGATCGGCGCATGCGCAGAGGCGGGGGGGAAAGCGGGCTGTCCGCCATCTTGTCGCCGTTCCTCAGCAGTGTGAGTGGCGTGGGGGGGGGGCGGGGGAGGGGGGGGGAGGAAGAGCGCCTTTGGCTCTTAAAGGGGGCACGGCCCCGGGGTGGGGCCACCGCGGGGTGAGATGGAGCGCGGCCCGGCGGAGGAGGTTCGCCGGCGTGCGGGGCGGCTGCGGGAGGGGACGGCGGTAGCGGGCCGGGGCCTCGGCCCTTCTCCTCCCGGCGGTTTTCCCTTCCCAGCCGCGGGGCCCACTTTAAGGCCCGGCGGCGGGAACGGGGCCGCGGCGGCGGGAACGGGGGGTGTTGGGGGGGGGGGGGGGGGGGGGGGGGATAGAATGGCGGGAAGGCGGGAACCGGGGTTACGGATAGGAGGGGCGGGGCTTGGGGGAAGGAATGGGAGGAGCCAACAGACCGCGGCGGGTGTCAAAAGTGGGCGTGGTTGAAGCGGGTGGGCGGGGATTAGAGGGCGAAGCGCGGGGTTGGGGGGTTGGGGGTGGAGCCAAGGCGTGGGGGCGTGGTCTAAAGGGGAGGTGGGGCTTCAGCTGGATGGGGCGGGGCCAGCGTGGCCTCGCCCACCCTGTGTCCCCCCCTTGGCCACCCCCCCCCATGGTGGAGGGCGACCCCCATGTCCCCCCCCCAAGTCCCCCCCAGCACCCTCCCATGGCCCCCCTGACCCCCCCCAGGCCCCCTACCTGGAGCCTGGCCACCCCCACATCCTCATGTGTCCCCCCATGTGTCCCTGTCCCCCCTTCATGTCCCCATGTCCCCCCCCATGTGTCCCTGTCCGTCCCCCCCCCACATCCCCATTTCCCATCCCCATGTGTCTTTGTACCCCCCCACATCCCCATGTCCCCCCCCATGTGTCCCTGTCCCCCCCCACGTCCCCATTTCCCATCCCCATGTGTCTTTGTACCCCCCCACATCCCCATGAGTCCCCCCATGTGTCCCTGTCCCCCCCCCACATCCCCATTTCCCATCCCCATGTGTCTTTGTACCCCCCCACATCCCCATGTGTCCCCCCATGTGTCCCTGTCCCCCCCCCACGTCCCCATTTCCCATCCCCATGTGTCTTTGTACCCCCCCACATCCCCATGTGTCCCCCCACATGTCCATGTCCCCCCCCATGTGTCCCTGTCCCCCCCCACGTCCCCATTTCCCATCCCCATGTGTCTATGTGTCCCCCCACATGTCCATGTCCCCCCCCCGTGTCCCTGTCCCCCCCCCACATCCCCATTTCCCATCCCCATGTGTCTTTGTACCCCCCCACATCCCCATGTCCCCCCCCACGTGTCCATGTCCCCCCCCATGTGTCCCTGTTCCCCCCCCCACGTCCCCATTTCCCATCCCCATGTGTCTTTGTACCCCCCCACATCCCCTTGTCCCCCCTCATGTGTCCCTGTCCCCCCCATGTCCCCATTTCCCATCCCCATGTGTCTTTGTACCCCCCCACATCCCCATGTGTCCCCCCACATGTCCATGTCCCCCCCATGTGTCCCTGTCCCCCCCCCACATCCCCATTTCCCATCCCCCTGTGTCTTTGTACCCCTCCACATCCCCATGTCCCCCCCCCACGTGTCCATGTCCCCCCCATGTGTCGCTGTCCCCCCCCCCGTCCCCATTTCCCATCTCCCTGTGTCTTTGTACCCCCCCACATCCCCATGTCCCCCCCATATGTCCCTGTCCCCACCCCCCACGGAGCCTTTTCCACCCCTCCCATCCCCACGTCCCCTACCCCAACGCATCTCCTGTCCCCCTCCTCACGTCCCCACGTCCCCCGCCCCAACTCATCCCTGTCCCCCCCCCCCCACCCCCCAGACCCCCCCCATGGAGCCGGGCCGCCCGGGCCGCCAGCGAGCCCCCGATTTCATCCGACGCCAGAAGCGACGGGAGCTGGACGCCCGCCGCAGCAAGTGCCGCATCCGCATCGGGGGGCACCTGGAGCGCTGGTGTCGCCTCAAGGAGCAGCTCGGCTTCGCCCTGCACTCCCAGCTGGCCCAGTTCCTCCTCGACAGGTCCGCAGGGAGGGCTGCAAATCCCTCGGGAGGGCCGAAAGAAAGGTTTGAGCTCGCCCTCACTCCCTTTTTCCACCGCAGGTACAGCTCCCACGGCTGCGTCTGGAGCCCGGGTAGGTGCCTCCCACCCCAAATCCACGGTGACATCGGTTATTTTGGGTCCAAAAAAAGAGGTTTGTGGTGAAGAGAGGAGATTCCTGTTGCGTTGAGGGCTCGGGTGCTGCCGATCCTCAGCCCCCCCCCCGTGAAGGAGGCGGATCGCTCCCTGCCTTGGGGCTGTTGGCATCCCCAGCTCGGGTTTTTTTTGGGGGGGAACTATTTGGGGTTTTGGGAGCTGCTAAAAAAGGGGGAGGTCTGAATCTGGTGGAAACAGCAGGACCTGCGTGAGATGGTGGGGAAGGCGGAGGGAGACCCTGGCCGACGTCCTCCTCACGCTGATTTTACATGGTTGAGAACAACCGAAAAGCCAGAATTTGGAGCTGGTTTTCACCGATTTGTCTGATTTTTTTTTTTTTTTTTTTTTTTTTTTTTTTTTTTTTTGTTGCCTTCACCAGGCGAACCAGAGCCAAAGTCTGGAGCTGGTTTTCACCAATTTCTCTGCGTTTTTTTGTGCTTTCCCCAGGTGAACGGGAGCCAAAGTTTGGAACTGATTTTCACCAATTTGTCTTTTTTTTTTGTGCCTTCACTGGGCAAACCAGAGCCAAAGTTTGGAGCTGGTTTTCACCAATTTCTTTGCCTTTTTTTGTGCTTTCACCAGGCGAACCGGAGCCAAAGTCTGGAGCTGGTTTTCACTAATTTCTCTGCGTTTTTTTGTCCTTTCCCCAGGTGAACGGGAGCCAAAGTTTGGAACTGATTTTCACCAATTTGTCTTTTTTTTTTGTGCCTTCACTGGGCAAACCGGAGCCAAAGTCTGGAGCCGGTTTTCACCAATTTCTCTGGGGGTTTTTTTGGTGATTTCACTGGGAAAACCAGAGCCAAAGTTTGGAGCTGGTTTTCACCAATTTCTCTGCATTTTTTTGTGCTTTCACCAGGCGAACCAGAATCAAAGTTTGGAGCTGGTTTTCACCAATTTCTCTGGGTTTTTTTTTTTTTGGTGCCTTCACCGGGGGAACCGGAGCCAAATTTTGGAGCTGGTTTTCACCAATTTCTTTGCTTTTTTTTTTGTGCCTTCACCAGGCGAACCGGAGCCCAACCTTCTCCACGCCGACGCCCTGCAGCGCCTCGTCGTCCTGTCCCACGGTCACGGCCAGGAGTGCGGTTTTGTCCCCGACGTGAAGCCGCCGGCCGCGGGCGGCGCGTCCCAACTGGTGTGGGAGTGCGTGGCCGGGCACAGCTTCTCCTGGGGTGTCCCCAGGGCGGCGGGGGACCGTCCCCCCGCCACCGGCCACCGTGGAGAGGAACAACGGGGGGACTCGGGGTGCAGCTCCCCGCCGGTCGCCGGCCGCCGGCGCTCACTCCGGCGAGCAGGGCTGGCCGCCCACTCCGGGAAGGGCGAAGCGGAACCGGAGGGAGCAGCTCGGTCACCCGTGGGTGCTGGGGAGCGGAGGGAAGAGCCGGGAGCTGGTGGTGATGATGGCAACGCAGGTGAGCTCCTCCGCGTCCCCTCCTCCACCTTCGTTTCCCCACTGGCTTCTTGATTCCCCAATTCCAGCCCTTCTCCCGGTCCCAAGGGCACATCGACTGGGAGCGGATGGTGCCCCAACTCCGTTGCTTCAGATTGGACAGCACCACCATGTAAAACAGATCTGTGGGCCTTTGCTGGAAAAACAAGTAGTGGAGTCTCCCACTCGGCTTATTTTCTACCGCAAAAGAAGCCCAGATCTTCTCCATCCTTCCCCTCCCATGGAAAAGCAGAGCTGGGGGACCTCAGGTTCATTAAAGGTGTTGAGAAAACCTCACCAAGCCCACACAGATGCCGCTCTCAGCAGTTTCCAAGAGTCACAGCTCTTGTTGTTTACCCAGATTGAAAACTGGGGAGAAAAATCTCCCCTTTTTTCTTTTTTCCTGCCCCCCCACACAGTGGCCTGTAGTAGCTACTTGAGAAGAGGTTGAACTTCTTCCAGTAGAGTCCATTGAAGTAACTTGGCCTTCAATTCTGCTGGTCAGTGGGATGGCACCATGCGGGTCCTTTCCAATACCTGTAGGCTTCCCAACCCTGCTGCCAGATCCACTCCCCATCTTCCTCCTCCTCCCTCCTCTGCCTCTCCCAACATCCCAGCTCAACCAGCTCCACTTCAACTCACCACAACTCCTGTCGTCTCTTTGCAGCTCCCCAAGTGCCAACGGAGATGGAGACCACGGCAAAAGATCACGGGAGGTGAGTGGTGGCACGCACGAGTCTTCCCCCAGTGTCTAACCGGGCTCTCCAAAGCTGAAGGGCGAGTTTGGACCCATCCATCTCATCCCTTGAGTTCTCCAACGGGCAGGCAACCTTTTAGCGAAGACCTTCCACGATTAAAACCCATCGTGGCAGAGTTGACTTTGATCGTTGCGTTCCTGCAGCGGACTCTTCCCAGAGGAGAAAGCGGAGCAGGGGGCTGAGCCCCAAGAAGAAGAGGAGGAAGAGGAAGACGAGGACTTTGCCGAGGACGATGACCTTGCCTACACCGATGACCTGCGTGATGAGAACTACCACCCATCTCTGGACAGGTGAGGAGCTTAGAGCTGCTGGGAAGGAGCCTGTGGACTGGGACCACGTGAGAGCCACTCCACGGGCTCCCAGTCACGCTGTCCCAGTCCCGACGGGTATTGCACTGGGAGGGTTTCAGACCTGACATCTCTGCCACCCTCTTGTCTTGCTACAGCTGACGTAGCAGAGATGGGAATAATGTCCCTATATCACTTAAATAAGGTGCTTCTGGGCTCAAAAGGGCACAGCCTTTTGGGGAAACACCTCCCTTCACTGTATCTCTGCCTGGGTGAGGGTCTTTGCCATGTCCTACCACCTCCAACCGGTGTCCTACCACCTCCAACCGGTGTCCTACCACCTCCAGCCAATGTCCTACCACCTCCAACCACCTAAACCATCTGGTCTACCCCATGTCTGCCTTCTCCCCCAGTGACTCTGAGCCGCAGCGACAACAAAGCCAGACCAAAACCCGTAAGAAACCCGTAAAGGAGGAGCAGCCCCCAACTGAACCGAACCTGACCAGCTCCAGCCCATCAGAGGAGAAGAGTGGACGAGCCAGGTGAGCCATGATGTCCGCGCAGGTGTGGTGACACTGGGTGGTGCCTCTCTTGGGACATCCATCTCTCCATGGCCACTGAATGAGCCTTCCGGGGGACGTTGGAGATGCTGCTGCTTCCCATGCTGAGAAACCCAGGAGGAAACCATCCGACCCAACCGTAAATGATGCTCAAGCCTTGAGCTCTGGGCAGGACAGGAGCCACGTGTCCCCGAGGGGGTTTAATCTTTCTCCTCGCAGTGCCGGCGTCCGCAGGGCAGAGCTGCATTGCCAGGCCTCGTTGGGTGCAGGAGCTTGCAAAGGGAGGGGGGGTCCTGGCACGTGGATTTTGCCACGGGGTGCGGGCGCTGAACGAGTCATCGTTTCGTCTGCTGTGTCTCTCACGGAGCTGATCCCCGCGCTCGGGTGGCCTGAGAGCGAGGACGTGCTGCTTGGGCAGGGGTTGAAGACCTTCAGCCACCCCCGTGGTGGGCGTCGGAACCTTTCTTTCACCTCTAGAAAGCCATCAAGTAGCCTGGAGGTTTGCAGCAGCAAGAAATCCATACGTTTCACCTCCTACTCCTGTCTCCACCTATAGACACGGGGCTTCTCCAGCAGCCAGAGCAGCTCTATACAGCCCAGCTATATTGCCCGGCAGCTCAAGCCCATGGGGAGAGGTGAGGAGAGACTGCAGCGCTGCCAACCTCAAGCGTTGGCCAAGGGACGGCTTGATAACGACCACAGTTATTGAATCTGCAAGCACTCTGCCTGTTTTGAGGCCGAGGGTTAGGTTTTAACCTCTCCTCCCCAGCCACGTGGGCTCAAAATTCACTTTTCCGTTCTAAATCAGCTCAAAGTCATCAGTCTGGTTTTTCTGCTGGGTCTTTACGCATGAGTGTTAAGGAGAGGTCGGTCTCCATGCTGAAACAAGATGGTCCGTGTGTTGCCTCTCGGGTCTGACACACAAGGAGATGTCACCTTGCCGGATTTTTCTGACACTTTCGTTACGACGAGGGTGTTAAAAACCCCCTTTTCCGTTGGAGTGACCACGTAAAACCGCCTTGTAACGCACCTTGCCTTCGCCTGTCCTGTGAAAGCCAGGACCAGCAGCAAAACACACGCCCCAAAACTCGACGCGTAAGTATCGTGCTGCTCCAATAAGACTTTTATTGATTTTTTTTTTTTTTTTTTCCCTCCTGACTTTAATACGGTGTATTGCCGCTTCTTTTCGGTGCTAAACACCCTTCCCCTCTCCTTGCAGCTCTGAAACCGCCTCGCGGCGAGAGCGACAGCCCTCGTGGTGGCCCGGTCCCGGCAAAGGAAAACGTGACGGTAAATCTGGCATTTGCTTTTCTCCTCTTCCTGCCCTCAATTTGAGGTTAGAAAGGTTTGGGTTAAGCCCAAAAGTGACTAAAAAGAGGGATTTTTCACATCCCTCTGGCATTTTTGGGGGGGGGTGGTCCTGCACATTTTCCATTCAAAATCCTGGTGTTCAGCTCTCCAAAAGTGCCTGAAGATGCACCTACGGACCAGTGGAGATTTGCAGGAGCGGCTGGTCAAAGTGGCCGTTGACTTCCCTGGGCAACCAGGGTGGTTTTGGAGCTTTTAACCCCTTCTCCAAAGCCCTGCCTGAGCTTTAGGCCAGTGCTGCCCTTCTGAAGGCTGAGTTTGGTTACAAAGATCACGTTTCCAAGCGTCGGATTAATTTTTCCCCCCCGCTTTTGTCGCAGCGACTGGGAGACCGGAGAGAAAATACTATTTCACGAGCAAAAAGCGAGAGCCTCCAGGCTTTGGTGTGTTCATCCTCCTCTCGCTTCCCAAAGGTAATGCCATCGTGAGCTGCTAAACCATTTTGAAGAGATTATGGACAAAGATGCCAAGCCTCGGTTTTATTCCATGCTGAGGATGCGGTCTGGCATCGTCGTCTATTAACAATCTCTTTATTTCTCCTCCCTACAACAATACGCCTCTTTTGTTTTTTTTTTTTTTTTTAACGCATCTTTCTTTCGTTTCAGGATGTCAGCCAGAAATAGCTGCTGTTTCCACGGAGCTGTGGATAAATTATAGATCAAACGAGGTGGACAGCAACCTTAAATGTCCTGGGACATATCCAAAACCCTGTGAAAGCCTTTTTTTGTAATGAGCAATAAAAGAATATTTTCCTATTTATAATGTGTGAAAGGTGCATTTGTTAACAACGGCGTTTCCTGCTCCGAGGGGCAGAAAGGCTGAATTCCCCAAACGGGAGAAAAAAAAAAAGAGAAACGGTCGCCCCGAGGATGGTTTTAAGGTTGTGGTTTGGTTGGAAACCCATCAGCTGCGAGGTTGGAGGACCTCGGCTTCTCGGTGGGGGCGAAGAGGGGGGGACAAGAGCCTCACTCAAGACTTTTTTTCTTTCCCGTCGCAGCTGCAAGAGGCGAGCGCGGCCGTGCGACGAGGACGTGGCGCAGATCGGCCCGAAGAGGATCAGGTACTGGGGGCCGGTGGGGAAGGGGGGAGCCGCCGCGCCGTTTCCCAGCCCCTCGGGAAGAGGAGAAGGTGCAGCTCAGCCCTTCCGTGGTGGGACGCCCTCGGCAAGCGGCACCGGCTCTGCGAGGGGCCTCCTGAGCATCCCGAACTGGAGCTTTCGGTGGGTGGGAAGATGGGTGAGGAGGCCCGAGCGGGGTGCCGGAGCCAAAAGCCACGCCGTTTTCAGCAATCCTCATCCTCACCGCCGCCGGTTTTTTCCCCTCCCTCCCCTCTCTCCCCTTCTGCAGGAAGGCGGCGAAGCGCGAGATCCTCCTCTGCGACTTCGAAGGCTGCGGCAAGATCTTCTCCAACCGCCAGTACCTGAACGTGAGGGCTGGGGACAACCCCTGCGCTTAACTCCAGCTCTTCCTGCGCTTAAATCCAGCTCTCGCTGCGCTTAAATCCAGCTCTCGCTGCGCTTAAATCCAGCTCTCGCTGCGCTTAAATCCAGCTCCCGCTGCGCTTAATTCCAGCTCCCGCTGCGCTTAATTCCAGCTCTCGCTGCGCTTAATTCCAGCTCTCGCTGCGCTTAAATCCAGCTCTCGCTGCGCTTAATTCCAGCTCCCGCTGCGCTTAATTCCAGCTCCCGCTGCGCTTAATTCCAGCTCCCGCTGCGCTTAATTCCAGCTCTTCCTGCGCTTCAATCCAGCTCCCGCTGCGCTTCAATCCAGCTCCCGCTGCGCTTCAATCCAGCTCCCGCTGCGCTAAAATCCAGCTCCCGCTGCGCTTAAATCCAGCTCCCGCTGCGCTTAAATCCAGCTCTCGCTGCGCTTAAATCCAGCTCTCGCTGCGCTTAAATCCAGCTCTCGCTGCGCTTAAATCCAGCTCTTCCTGCGCTTAAATCCAGCTCTTCCTGCGCTTAAATCCCCCCCTCACGCCCCAGGAGGTGCAGCAGCGGAGCTGGGCACCAGCATCCCTCCCATTCCCAGTCTCTGCTTCTGGGGCCGCTGGGAGCTTTGCTGACCCACCAGATGGGGCAGATTTTGCCTGTCCCAAGCTCCATTTTGGGCATCTTGGGTGTTGCGGGGCAACCGGAATCGGCCACGGCTTTCCAAAGCTGGCTAACAGATACAGGACTTGGGCCCCCCCCGTGTTCAGCAGCAGCTCAGCGTGCCCGAGGTCACTTGAAGTCCCACCACGCGCTTCGGGGAGCATAACGGGGGGGGGGGGGGGGGGGAGGTTGTCGCTGGAAGTTTCCCTAGGGCTTCCTCCGAGCGCAGCTTCTCGGCACCGACCTCCTCGCTTCTTAACCCCCCTTCTTTTTTCCTCCCCCCCCCCCCCCCCCCCCCCAAAAAAAACGACAGCACCACAAGAAGTACCAGCACGTCCACCAGAAGACCTTCACCTGCTCAGAACCCAGCTGCGGCAAGTCCTTCAACTTCAAGAAGCACCTCAAGGAGCACGAGAAACTGCACAGCGGTGAGTCAGCTGCCTCCGTGCAGGCACGTACGGATGTTTTATGGATAAATCTCCCACCTCTGCTGGGCTACACCTGACCACACTCTAGATGTTACCGCACCCATTTTCTTTCTGCTCCCCAGATCTACTCCATCATCATCTCCGTTTCTGTGCTGGGAAAGCATCCTGCCTCCTTAAATTCACCCTGAAAGCATCCCGACTGCTCTTCCAGGCTGGATCAAGCCTTAATCCTTTTTTTTTTTTTTCTTTTGATTTTTTTTTTTTTTTTTTTTTTTTTTTTCTCCCTTCTGCCCCCACAGACAAGCGGGACTATATCTGCGAGTTCTGCGCCCGTTCCTTCCGTACCAGCAGCAACTTGATCATCCACAGGCGCATCCACACAGGAGAAAAACCCCTGCAGTAAGTACCAGGCCCGTCAGCGTTTCTGGTTGGCATCGGGGTTTCTTTTCCAACCCAAATTTAGCTTCTCTGGTTGGCATCGGGGTTTCTTTTCCAACCCAAATTTAGCTTCTCTGGTTGGCATCGGGGGTTTCTTTTCCAACCCAAATTTGCGGGTAGCCCGAGGCCTGGCTGTTATTTTTCCTTTGCCTAAAGGTTTCTGCCCCCGGGGCTGATCCAGCAGCTCTAGGAGCAGCTTGGGGGGGGCGGGGGTTTGATTTGGAGAAGCTTAATAAGCTGGGACTTGACGAGAGCGATGCATTTCCTTGCCTGGAGGGTGTGCTGGAGCCACACCGAGCTGAGGCGGCTGAGCAGGGCGCTGGCTTTGCTAAACCCACGTGAAATCCCAGCACCCAGGCGGGGCCGGTTCTCCTTTAAGTGCTTAAGCCCTTGTTAATCCAATTTTTAAATTTTTTTTACCTCAGCTCCCGCTCTCTTTTCTCTCCCAGGTGCGAGATCTGCGGCTTCACCTGCCGCCAGAAAGCCTCCCTGAACTGGCACATGAAGAAACACGACGCCGACTCCTTCTACCAGTTCTCCTGCGACATCTGCGGCAAGAAGTTCGAGAAGAAGGACAACGTCACCGCCCACAAAAGCAAAAGTCACCCCGAAGTGCCCGGCGGCCCCCCTCCAAGCGAGGGGGCCCAGCGGCAGACGGTGCCATCCCCGGCGCCCGATTTCGGGGCGAGGCTGGAGCACCCGGAGGCGCCCGGAGCGTTGGCCGGGGAGCCGCGGGAGCTTGGGGACACCCCGGTGAGGGGTGGGGAAGCGGAGAAGAGCTCGGCCGAATCTCAGGGGGGTATCGGGCAGGATCCAGGAGCGCCCCAAGGCCGGGTGACGGACGGCCTTGGCTCGTAGCAGGACTCATCCTCCAATTTTTGGACAAAAGAAGGACCGGGCGGCGGGACGGGGGCAAAGCGAAACGCCGCCGGGGCCCCGCGGCGCCTGGCAGCGGCGCGCCCAGCTGCCCAAACCCACACGAAACGGGGCAAGGACCCCGGCGCTTCCCGACGGAAATCCCAGCTTTTCCACCCAAACCCAGGCTTCCCTCGGCCTCGCCGCGGCGCAAGGAGGTAGCGCGGGTTTGCGAAAGGCGGCGGCAGGCTCCTCAATAAAGACTTATTTTGTGTAAAAGCGGGGCTGCCCGCTCGCGCCGCCCACCTGGGCGCCGAGTCTCTGTGGGGAAAAAAAAAAACAGAGGGAGAAAAGGGAGATTTCCGCGCGCGGCCTGGCGCCACGCCCCGTCCGAAGGTTGTATTTAGCACAATAAAAACAACAACAGAAAAAAAAAAAAGGGTGATTTAGGTCAGGAAGTCAGCGGTAGGTGGAGAGGATCAAGGCCGTATCGGTTTTAGCCTCAGAAACGGGCGTTATTTAATCCAGCGATGGTTTCTCAAGTCCTGTAAGCACCACTTGCTTTTTACCGAGCCTTTTTGGAAAGGATTGTTGTATTTACGCGGCCTCGAAGGTCACCAGCGTTGATGAGAAAACAAAAAAACAACCCTGCGAGCGTAGGCTAGAAGATGCTTTTGATGTAGATAAAGGGGCTGCGGGGAGGATGGAGCTCACCGGGGCACCCGTGGGAACTGGGGACCCAAAATGGGGTTGGCTGTAGGAATTAGAAGTCAGGCTGTGCCCTTCAAAGAACACTTTTGGGGGAAAAAAAAAAAAAAACAAAACGTTTCAGGGGAGAAAATGGGTGTTTGAGGTGGGGTTTTCCACTGCAATAAGCAGCTGGGGGTTTTGTTTCCAGCTGCGCCGAGGGCTAAATCCCAGCTGCTGCGAGCGACGAGCGCGGCCCCGTATCCAAACTGAGGCTTAGAGAAACCTGATAACGGAAGGAAATGACCCAAAAACCGGGGCTGAGGGCTCCGGGAGAGCTCCCACCCCAGGGAGAAATCGCAGGGTCAGCTATGGTGCCGAGATGCTCTGTCATACCCCGGCTCGGGGGCATCTGCTTTCCTGCTGTTTAATATTTTTCTGCTCAGAATCAAAATTGGGGGGATTTCCCGGGGGGAACGGGGACCCCCAATTTCCCCCCCCCAGCACAACCCGGGGCAGCAGCACCCCCTCACCCCCCCGCCCGCTCCTTCCCCCTGCACCCGTGGTTGCACAAAGGCCGCGTCCCCTCCGGGAAAAGCTTCTGCCCACCCACCCCCAAAAAAAGAAGATTTCACCCCAAACCCCCACTTTTTCACCCCCCAGAAAATAAAAGGCTTGGTGCTGGCCCTAGGGAACAACAAGGGGCCCCCCCACTTTGACCATGCATGTCCCTAACATTGCTCCCCCAAAACCAGGCCCGCCCCTTCCCCTTCCTCTCTAAGGGTTCATTTTAAAGATTTGCCTTGTTGCTTTATTCCTTTTCTAGCAGCTCTGAGTTGAACAAATTTAGATATATCTATATACATACAGATATATATCTATATATGCGAGGAAAAGGCGGGGAGGGTCTTAAACCTCCCAAAATAGGCTTTTTTGGGGCATTTAAAGTCAATCTAAACTTTCATTTAAAATGAAAGGCTTGGGACTCAGGGCCTTTTCGTGGCACCCAAAACTCGGGGTGTTTCTCGGCTGAGGGGAGGGCTCAGCCCTCCTCAGCCGCACCCTGCGCTGGGTAAACCCCTCCCCACTTAGACACCCCCCTTCCCAAAAACCCCAAAACCCCCTCCCCGAGCTGCTTGGGGACAAGGAGAGGTGTCCCCAGCTCTGTTCACCTCGGAGAAGAGGGTGGCTGCAGGTCCAAGCCTGCGCCAAGAGAGCAGCTTTTACTTCCACAGCCATCAGATTGTTGTTTTTCTTTTTTTTGTTGTTTGTTTGGGTTTTTTTTAGGATTTTTATGGATATTTTTTTTTTTTTTTTGCACAGCAACTTTTATTTCCCCACTAAACAGAGTGACAGGGCAAAGAGACGTAACAGCATCGCGGGCTCACACGAGGGCGGGCAGGGGGTTTAGAAAGCACGCGCGAGATCACACCTAAAACAAGGCTTCCCCCCCCCCCCCCCCACCTCCTCTTTTTCCCCACAGCCTGGGTTTCCAGCGGCAGCTACCCCCCAAATCCACAAAGCCAAACCCACACCCCCCCAAAAAAAAAAAAAAAACAAAAACCAAACAACAAAACACCTCCCAGGTTTGAGGTGCATCCCTACAGCTACACCCATCTCCTTTTTTACTCCAGCCCCGGGGCTGCGGCTCCCAGCTCGACGCCTGCTCAGCGTTACCGGGAGGGGGGAAGCGGTGAGGGAGATCGAGGGGTTTTTGCTCTCTTTAGCGCTAGCGGCAGAGAAAAACGGGCTCGGTCCTTTCCCGGAGGAGGAAAGGAAAGCGAGGGGGGGGGGGGGTGGGGTGGGGAAAAGCTAAAAGGTGACCTGCAGAGCACCGGTGTCAGAAAGCAGGGGTTGGGTACGGTTACCTCTCCTCCTCCTCACGCAGGTTTTCTAGCCCTCAAGCTTCCCAGGGCGTGGGAAAGCAGGTGGTTTTGGCTACAGATCGATGCAGGATGCAATAAACCCCTAAGGTAGCTTTTTCTCCCTGGTTACATCCCTGTTTACATGGGGCAGCCAACTTAAAAAAAAAAAAAATACAAACCAAGAAAAAAAAAAAAATAGATGGGGTTGCTTATACAGCAGGCCAGAGGGGGGGGGGAACTAACCCCACGCCGGGGCTTCTCAAGCAGCCACCCTCAATGGTTGATGCCCCAGAGGAAGGTTTTCAGGGTAAAGAGACCCTAAACTTTTAAATGCAACAAGAAAAAGTTAACCCTGAAGCCGAACAAGGGACAATCATGAGTTTCAGGGGTCCTTTGAAAGCAAGGGCGGGGAGAAAAAAGGGGAAAGGATCGGGCACTACTTGCAGGTCACCTTGGGGAGAGTTAAAGAAACTGGGCCGGGGGGGGTGGAGCTCAATTGCAAAGGGAGAGCGAGGAGCCCACATAGAAGAGCCAGAAGAAAGGAAAGATCTTTTCGGTGAAAGCGGCCGTGAAGGTGAAGATGGGAGCCATGTTATCGGCGTTGTAAAACGCCACCCACCCGCCTTCGTAGTCCAGGTACACCCCGATCTTCCTGGGCCTCTCACACAGGGACAGGGGCGTCTCCGGGGAGGTGAAAGCCTGATACTGATCCCAATTCTTCCCCTTCCAGTTCAAGCCCACCGCCCAGATCCCCTCCTCCGGCGCGAAGTCAATTTTCTCCTTCCTCCGCACCGACTCGCGGGCCGCCCCCAGGACCCAGCTCTCTCCATCTCCCACCTCCACCTCCCAGTAATGCCTCCCAGCTACGAAACCCTCCGCCGCCAGCACGCAGAAAGAATAATCGAATCTCTTGGGGTTTGCCGGCAATTCCTGCGGAGCACTCCTGAGCCGTACGCTCCTCTTGTCCTCCGACAGCACCAGGTAGGGGTTGGCAGTGTCCGGGTCCAGAGAGAGATCACCTGGGCAGAAGGAAACACCGACGTGAGCACCTGCAAGCACAGAAACCTTCTCCCCCCCCTCTCCCCAAGGGGGGATTCATCCTTCGGACGACACCAGACGAGTCACCTCCAACAGCTTCGAGCACCCGAAGCGCAAAGAGCCGCAGGGGAACAAAGACCAGGCTCCACTTTCTAATTAAAAGCAGAGAAACAGCCGGATCTCTGCTGCAAATCCACCAGCCTGCCCCACCTGAGACACCTCTTTGCTCTGGAATAGAAATTTCTGAGCAGAAATAACTCTTTTTTTTTTTTTAAAGTCTGTGCCAAGCGCCGGAGAGGAACGAGCACAAATATCCTCGTGTTTAAGGGCTGGTTTTGTACCCGGGGGACGGTCGGGAACTAGGGCTGCACAACCTGGAACTGACTGTGAGAGGGCAACATCAGAGAGTGCTGAAAGCAAAACAGGTCTGGTCCTGCGCTCAAGCCAAGGAGACGGAGCTCAGCAACGGTCCTGAGCTACCAGCAGCAAACGCAAAGGTTGCAAAGTCCATCTCAGAGCTACCTCAGCGAGGCCAAAGGTCTCCTCGCTCCGGGTAGAGCCGATCAGCTTCTGGAGAGTCCTCTTAACCCCACAGTTTCCTAAAAAATTCCAAGGCTGAGCCTTTTGGGGACTCCCCCAGCAGCTGAATCTTTTATTTTTTTCCCCTTCCCTTGGCAGCGCCAGCAATAATTTTTCTCCTCTCCTGACCTCTAAGGGTAGTTTGAAGGTCTTACCGCTGAGATCCTCCCCAGGGAAGCTGAAACTCTCAAATTAAACCTTGCAAAAATGAAGGTCACGCTCCTCAAACCAAACTGTGCTCACCTGTGTCATTCTCCAGCTCGAACCGGAGGTTCTCTGAGGGAAATAAAAAAAAAAAAAAAAAAAGAAATTGAGAACCTTTTGTGCACAGGGAGTCCCCCGGGGATGGCCTACACGCACACACGACCTTGCTCCCTGCCTTACAGCCAGCCACCAAACGCTGCTGCTCGGGAACGATCCCACCCAGTCACAGCAGACTTCCACACAGATACCCACGGGCAACCAGCTGCTTTTCGAGCAAGCAGGGCTTTCTGGTTTAGATAAGCAGATGCTCAAACAATAAAGACTTCTCCCAACAAGCCCAAGGGAGAAGCAAGAGCACAGCTCAAGCCAAGTCATCTTTTTAAGTTCATCTCAAGTTGAATTAAACGTAGGGGGCTAGGAGGCACCAACTTTTAAAGAAACCCTTTCTCAGCGCTCACCCTTGAATTCCAGCAAGACTTCTTTCAGCACTGCACTCTTCTGGGAAAAGCTCTTGAGTTTCTTCTCCAGCTCCGCGAAGCCAGCCTCCGGCTTGCAAAACATCCAGCTCTCAAAGCTGGGGAGGAGAAAGCAGCATTAGGTTTCCTCTGGAAAAAAAAAAATAAAATCTCCAAACTAGAGGCAGGGAAGAAACCTGAAGAGGTTTGGTGTTGGATTTTTCTCCCTCTGTCAGCGGTCGTGAGGCCACACCTGAGGACTGGGGCCAGTTTGGGGCTGCCCAGGATGAGGCACGCAGGAGAGATGAGATGTGGGGCCCGATACTGGTGCTGATGGTGTGGGTTTGGGCCCTCATCAACCAAATTACTCCACAGTTTTCTCTGGGAGGATGCTCAAACCCTCCCCGCAACCCCCCTGCCACAAAGCCCCTCTGCAGAGGTTTGGGTTTTGCCTCAAATGTAGCACCGGGGTGTGGGTGAGAACCTCAAGACAGGCAAGAGGGGGAAGCTGGACAGGGTGTACACCAGCTCTGCCTCCGGTGGGAGCCTCCCAGTTAACCCAGCAAGGGCTCAGGTTCGCTCACCTGCTTCCAGCTGG